GCTTGGGCTGCAACTTGACCTTTGCTGCAGGCTTTCCGGATGCTGTCTTGGGCACAGGTGGCGGCTTCTTCGCCGCGGGCTTGGGGTTCACTGCAAGGGCCTTTGATGCAGTGGTGACAGCAGCAGGTGCGATAGGCGTCGCGCCCTTCGCGCCCTTGCCTTGGCTCGCAATGCGCGCCGCACGCTCCAACACCCACGGGTATTGGGCGCGGTGCCTCTCGTCGCACGAGCTGCAAGCCTTTGCTAGGCTGTCACGGGCCAACACCTGGGCCCTGATCGCTGCCTCTATGGCAGCTCCGGCTGTTCCCTGAGCCGGTGCTTTGCTCTCAGCAATTTCCTGAGCGATTGCCGCGTTCCTCAGGCGGTAGTTGCTGGCCAATGCAGATTCCGGGGTGGCCTTGCCTGCACGCACTCTGCGCAGTGCTGCCTCTTGCGTGGCTAGCGCCACACTGATCACGCGGCCTGCAGACTTCGCCGCGGCTGCCACCTCCGGCAGCAATGCAATTGGCTCAGCGCCCGGTGCTGCTGCTTCCTCAGCTGCTGCGGCTGCTTTGGCAGTGGGCTCCTCCTCCTCCTCCGAGGTGCTGCCACTGGTCGGCCTTCTCTTACGGCGGGTCAACTCCCGCTTTGGCCTTTGCCTTGGACCACCTGGAGGGCACTTTGGCTGCACGTTCCTGCCAAAGCCTTTGGGGACAGGCACCTCGTAGCCGTACTCTTCCTCGAACTTATCGAGGGCTTCCTGGACTGCAGGCGGGATCGGGTTGTTGCGCTTCAAGTTCAACTTGACCAAGCCCCGCAAGAACCGGTAGGACCTCGCCTCCTTGGACCGGCGTCCGTCCTTCCACTTTCCGGCTGAGTTCTCCTTCACTCGGGGCCAGGGCGCCTTGCTCTTCTTCTTCTTCTCGCCCTTCTTGCCTTTGCCCTTTCCTTTGCCTGCTTCTTCGGGCTTCTCCTCAGCTGCTGCAGGGGCCTCCTCTTCCTCAGCTGCTGCTTCTTCTGGGGCCTCCTCTTCCTCAGCTGCTGCTTCTGCTGCTGGTGCTGGTGCTGTGCTGCTGGCAGCCTCCGGATGCGATGAGGACGGGGCTGCCAGGGCGATCGAAGGAGATCGCCAGTTGCCCCAGGCGTCCGAGTCCGACGCTGAAGCCTCTGTGGATCTATTGACGATCCACCCTTTGCGCGCCGGCTTCTTCGGCTCTGGGGGCCTATCCTCTCTCTTCTTTCTCTTCTTTGGTGGCTCCTCTGGCTCCTCTGGCTCCTCCAGCAGCTCAGCTAAGATCCTCTCTGTCTCAGCTGCCTGCTGGGCAACGCTCTCCTCGTTGGGGGACCAATCCGGTCCCGAGGCCAATTCTTCTGGCCCCTCTTCAGCTCCTCCGAGCTGCTCAGGCCCGGTCTCCTCCACCGGGGCCTCTTCGGGCAGCTCCTCGGTCTCTGGCACGACCGAAGCGCCCTCCTCGCCTGGCGGCTCTACCGCCGCCGGGCTCCTGCCGCGTCCGCGGCCTCCCCGCCTCCAAGGCGGTACTGATCCACGCCCTCTGCTGGCGTAGTACCAAATTGAGCGCTTAGGTCCCTCTGAACCTTTACTGCTCCCCATGAAAATCTAATTGGCCGCTTCGGAGCGCCTTATTTTCTTGAGCCAAAACATGTCAGTAGTCTCAACTGTACAACTGTATATGACAACATGCGTATTGGGCTACATATTTCAACACAAAGCAGGGTTGGGCCAACCCCACAGAAAAGGAGTAAACCATTGTTTTTGAATCAACCCCTTTTGGTGTCCCTTCGAAACATTGTTTGACCAAGCCTGTGGAAAACACCAATTGCCTTTGCAAATGGTCCATCTTCCAGAATGAATTCACACGACACCCCAAGCGGGTTCTCGTATGGTTGCCGAGAACGAAAGGGGGGGAAGCACCTGCTTTGGAACAGACGATGCAAGGGGATTCTGTTGACCCCGGATTTGAGTAGAACCTGACGGATCCCCTAAACGACCCTCTAAAATGGAACACGAGCCTCCCTCAAAGTTGCTAATTGTCCGAGTCCCAATTTATGAACAAGCCCCAACTGTCAAACCTGACATTAAACACAACACGAAGCACTTGCCTTGCCAAGAGAACGGGGAAATGTGTAAGTCGCCTGGTTGTCTTGCTTGGAGCTCGTCCCTCATGAATAGACAAAACCGGGCTGTCCCCGCTTGCGGTGTCCTCCTAAACTTGAAGACACCTCTTGAACGGTGAGCAAAGGCAAACAAACTATCAGTTTGGGGCTGCGGGGGACTTGGGTTCTCCAAGCGTGGACCCCGCCCAAATGCGGGATCTTCCTTGAACTCCCTTTCAACCAAGTATGCACGTTCTGCAGACCTGAGCAACGATCTCAGGCGCAAGCTTTGTACTGGGGCGCGATGTCTCTGTAGCCAACGATGCGGTAAGACTCCCTGGCCCACTTCGCCAAAAGATCCCCAACTGGAAATCATGAAGGTCCCCCCCTCTCGCTAGACATGAAGTGTTTGTTACTTACCAAGGGAACCCATGGGATCTTGCGTAGAAATGGCCCTCTGAAATGTTCACAGGGTTGTCCTTTGAACAAGTCAACTCACCTTCTCAAATGACTGGTTAGCCGAAGCTTCGAACATCTTGAGGGATGTACTACAAGTGTGACGAAATCAACCCACGCCCAGTGCAAGGCTTTGCCCACCAAACGAGGTCAGATAAGCTAGCTCTGATGCACCTGGGTCCATTTCAGTAAGACATCTTCGAAATTGAACCCCGTAAAGGGCGGCCAACTTGCCACCCCAGAAGTTTGTCTGAGCACCCCAAGAATGTTCACTTTACTTGACCCAGCAGGACCTTTTGGGGTGCCTTGACCAAAACGGTATAGCCCAAGCCTGACCGCTGATCCGGTCTGTTTGCCAAAGGAAAGGGGCACTCACTCAGGCTTAGGTGCATGCCAAAGACACCGTCTCGGAAGCGCCCCGCATTTCCCGCTTCAACATCACGCAACTTGAAGGAGACTCGCTTCACCGACCATAGCCCCCTCCATCCGACGGAAACCGGAGCGAGCACCCGAGCCTCAGAAAGGGAAGCCACAGCTGAAGGGACAAGGTGTCCACCACCGCCGGGGGGTTCTTCTTGCTGTGCCTTGGAACCACACCGATTTGTGCCGAAAATCTGGCACCTGGGGTCTTATGGAAAGTCACCAACAAAAAACAAAGAACAACAACTGGAAAATGGCCAATGGGAAGAAATCAACCACCAAGCGAGCAACCAATCAACCGACCAAGCAGAACCGAAACTTGGCAACCAATCCAACCCCCTTGGACCCCCGAACCCCCCTCCCTGGAAACCCTCTGGAATCCCCATCCCTTGACGCAAGCAAGTGCCTGCCCCGCCAAATGCTTTGCGGCCCTTGCGGGGGTCGCATTTGAGGGTTTCCATAAAATCCCTCCGCTTCCGCGCCGCTTCCGCGGCGCAAAGCGTACCTTCTGCAGCATCCATAGCTGCGAATGCTCTTCATCTGCTCTGGTCAGCTGTGAAATTGCGATTGGTTATTCAGCAGATCCAGACCAATTTGCAAGGCATCTCCTTAGAAGATCTCGAGAACATTCCGGGACAGGCTCTTGGTTCCAGTTTGCGGGCTATGCCAGCGATATGGGCATCGCTTGGGCATCGTTCGGGGCATCGTTCAAACCAAACCGTTCTCTTGTCCAGGCATGGTCAGTTTGATTTGTACAGCAGCTAATGAGTTGGGTATCGGTTGGGCATCGGTTTGGGTATCGGTTTGGGCCCTGCAAATGTCAGATTCCGCAATCTTGGTTTGCAACAACAGCTTGGACCTGATGCGTGTCTTGATGGCTTCTGGGGGTATCGTGTTTTTTTTTCCTCTGTATCGGTTTACAATGGTTTGGGCCTGCAAAACAAGTTAAGGGACGTCCCCTTACATAATTAACGAAAAGGCGCGCGGATTTTATTTCAGTACGCGTCGGGCACTTTCCGAGCTCCGGCTCGAGAATCGCAAATTTTAGTGCACATGTAGTACGCGAAGGCCACTTTCTCAGCTCCAGCTCGTTGCTCTGGAACTTTTCATACACAGATGTAGTACGCGAGGTGTACTTTCCGAGATCCAGCTTGAGAATCGTAACTTTTCGGTACAAGCGTGTAACATGTTTAAAGGCAAGCCAATATTTTGAAAGAACATAACAGGTCGCAGCTTCCGCGCTGCTTCCGCGGAGCTTGGGCGGCCTGCGTTTCACTTACTTACCAACATAACCACCGCCACTAGCCACTAAAAAACGAATACAGCTATTTACGGAAAGCCTCATTTGCATCGGTGTCCAAAACTCGCCGCAAGGAAGCTAACACAAGGGCACATCATTCCAAAGGGTGCTGCAGCGGTCTTCCCAATGGTCCACATATGATAAACACATTGCTGGCTTTGGTTTTGCCCCTCTTTGCTTCCTTGCAAAGTGTTGGCATCCTTGGGTTGGAAGGAAACAAATAAAAAACTTTCGTAGCCCAGGGAAGAGTTGAGGATTGCATTTAAACAGCCCAGCTAGAATGGTCTACTAAAAAGAGCTCACGATCCGGAAACTGGATGGAGGTAATTCATGCCGCCCACGGGATCACAACAATCCCACGTTCCCTGCACAGGGTTGCTCCCATTCGACCGAACTGATCGGCACAAGCGGGGGGTAGACACTTGGAAACGCTGGTACAGGGAAACCCAAAAGGGAAACGCTGGTACAGGGAACCCAAAAAAGGCAAATTCCTCAAAAAGGTCAACTCATTTGATGCATCCCCAAAACGAACACAGTTGCATCTATTTGGAACGGCTCGTAGCAACCCTGCCAAGTATCCCCATGTTGGGTGTTAAATAGAGGGTCTGGATTAAAACAACAAGATCCGTTGCCTTGTCATCCTGGGGGGCGGCAATCCAATCTGCTTTTCTGGAGTGTTTACCAATTATCGCCATCGTGACTTCATCGGCTCCCGCGCTACGGCCCCGGCTCCCGCAGCACGCCCATCACATCTGCCAGCATAAAACGCCGGATTGAGGCCTCATGTCGCGGAATGCCCTGGGTCTGTGTACCCCCGCCCTGTACACAACAAAGAAAGCAAACGACTGTGGGATCTCCGCTGGCATAATTCGGAAACCCGGAAATAAAGGGGGAATCCCGACATACAGGACATTCCTGAGTAAAGTCGTTTTGTCCCAGCTCGCAATTATTTGCACAGACCTATGTCACAAATGTTAAACCATGGTTGACAGGGCAGAAAAGGGCAAGGGGCACAAGTAAAGAGCATCCTTGTGACCAACCGGCTCTGAACATTGCAAATGGACGCACGCACACATACACACACACAAATACTTCAAACCAGACCCACACCGAAGGACATCTTGCTAGTCCGGCAAAGACGTTGGGTGGATTCCCTGCTTGGAAATGAAGCGCCGTCGCAAGCCATGCTAGTAGTAGCATCCCTTGTTTCCTGCCCAGCTAAGTCAATGGGACACTTCCAAATGGAACTCAAACACCAACGCCTTCGGCTTGCAGGTACAGGGCCGAGTGCGGGTCATGGTTTCGGCCGGGATTACATGTATTGCTAATTAGAGGCTTTAGGATCTGTAAACTTGCTTGCCAAAAAAGGGAAGCACACGAGTTCCACATTGGGGGCAATGAACAAATCAGGCAAATTACGAGAGTGCACCAACCTAAAAGGAGGGTCTCATGCGGCCTGGGTGACACAACAATGATGCTATGTTTGCCTAGTGCTTTGAGCTCCATCGTCTTCCTCCTGGTGAATCAAAATACCGTAGTGGATGCAGTGGTACATCCAAATCAGCCTAGTTCCATACTTGCATCCCTAGCTGTTCAGTGCCGTTGCTAGTAAATCACTTTGGGGGGTCATTTCATGTTTATGGGCACGTTTTCCGAAACAAAAGGAGGGATTGAGATTGGAATCCAGTGAGCAACTGAGTAACTGGGTTCCCTTTCTGAGATTGGTTTGAAAGCAAACCAACAGGAACACGCACCTACTGGAGAGGTGCAAATTCCTGCTTTGGCACATACCGAGTGAACCAGGCTGGTGGGAAACAAGGGGACCTCAGCTAGGGACCTGATTCGTCAAACATGCTGAAACACCCTTGAAGGAACAACCTCCTTTTGGCGCCTCCCAAAGGAATTGGACCAGGCTCCAGGTATTTCAGCCACTTCCCTGGGACCGGGAATTGAACCTTCCTTCGGACTTCGGGCCCCCCGGCGCAAATCTCCATGAAGAAGCGCAAGGAAGTGGCGCCCCGCGCACCGCGGCCCTCCGGCAATGGCACGCCACGGATCCTCGAAGCAGCGAAGCGGACATGCGAGAATCAGATCCCAGAGTCAGCCCAACGAAAGCTGCCAAGGGCCCAGTCCCCGGACAGCCTCACTAGCTAAGGGGGACACACCGGATGACACACCCATCCGGGCCAAGACAAAATCACACTGGCGTCCCCGAGAGGACACGGGCAAAAACTGGGTGGTCTTATTCCGTGGTTCTTGTTGAAATTGGTGTGGGCGTCCCAACACTTCTATGCGTCAGCTACTCAATCGGGACTGCCAAAACCTCTGTGACAGTGATCACAGCTGTGGTCCCGGCTCGAGCGAATCCTTGATGTAGTCCTGCAGCCGCGTGCAAATGGATGGCTTTTGCCCACCTGCCCAAGAAACTCAATTAATTTGTTGCTTGCTTAGTAGGGGAAAACAGTTTTCCCAAGAATCGTTGAATCGGGGTGGACAATGATGGCACAAATCGTTGAAGAATCCACACCCGGGTAGGTGAGGTGGCATTCTCAGCCACGACTCGCCGTTATCTTGCTACCCTCCTCCCGTGGAAGAAAAGAGAACTGGTGTCAAACCACTTGTGAGGAGCCATGGTCTGCTTAAGTCAACAAACATGCCAATCCGCTCTTCCCGCAAAACTCAAGCAACAAATGAGCCCTAAGGGCAATCTATTGCAAGCAACAATCACCCCCCCTCTCCCCCCAAAAAAAAGAAGCACCGCGCCCCTGTGAGGAGGGCATTGGAGATGCTGTAGCAGTAGTTGAAAGCGGCGTCCTGGCAGGGCAAACAAAGCGAGAAGAAAAAGCAATCAAGGGGCGGTGGAGTCTATGTTCATGTTTTTGTTGGGGTCAACCCGTGTTTATGGCCCCACAAACGTAGGATACCCCCAGAAGGGCGGTTGCTTTCATGTCGGCCCTTTCAACCACGTTGCTTTCCCCTGTGTCAACTACCAGGGCTTCCAATCCCAAGTTCCCATCCAACCAGCAGTGCCATCGCCACGTAAGCTTCATGCTCCACCTCCACCACGTATGGAATAGCACCGAGCTGGCTGTTGGTGTCTCCAACCGGGAAAAGAGCGCAGAATTCCCATAAAGTGCCTTGATGTCACACACCGGGTCAGGGAGACCCATCCTCGTAGCATCCCCGACAGTAAGCAATCGTAGGCCAGGTTCTGCGATGGCCCCACGATGACTTGCAGCCAAAATAGACGCCTGTGCCGCCGCACCAATTGTCGGCTCCGAGGCAGCAAGCTCACTGTTGTTCAACCGCGGGATGAAAAGAACGCGCTTTCAGAAAAACATCTCCCCCCATCCCGTAATCCCCTTTGGCTGACACGAACAACAGCTTTTGGACTATATATAAACAAGCCGCAAATACCAAGAGAGAAAACACAGAAGAAAAAACAACAATAGCTTCTCGTGGACATCCATCGTCACGCACCCAGCGAACTTGCAAGTTGTACTCAGAAGCCTCCAAAATATGAAGGTACTTAGGCACTTTGGGTACCAGTTGACGGCCGTAAGGCTTCTCAAGGAGAAGGCTGGTACCACAACGCCAGGTCCTCCCAAACCCTCCCAGCCCAACCCCCCCGCCAAAGCCCCCGACCGAACCTTCGAACGACCGAAAAGGACCACTTTTGGAGAACTCGGCCCCCAGGCGGTGTAGGATTGTTCCGCCACCAGACGGGCAGACAAGGCCCGGTGCCTCAAATCTCGGTCTTTCAGGCGAGCTTGTTGTCTGTCTTTATATTGTAGCGGATGTTCGTACTATAATGGCTGGCTTCCCTTTGGCTTCCCTCTAGAAGCAACCAAACTGGAGTTGCCCAGAACAAAAAAAACATGACCCACTTTTGTATTTGCCCAATAACAGGAGAAGACGTTGTTTGGTCCCTGTCGGTTGGGTAAGCAAAGGAGCCCGCCCCCCCCCCGAAAGGGTTTGGTATACATGACTGGGGGACTGTCAGTAGCCAGTAAAACGAGGGACATGTTGTGAGACGATCAAGGCAGGCGTCCATTGTGAACCAAACTGAAGATTCCCCACGCTACCTGAGAAGGTTTCCAATGCATGGATTCGCGCCATGTGCCAAGTCGATGACTGGGTCAGTGATAAGTTTGACGATTTTAAACGCATCTTAAACAATCCCTGCCTTGCTGATGGCATTATTTGAGCCACATAAACTGCGTGCATAGGGGCACCCTCGAAAAAATGTGCAGGAGCAATTTCACATCACTTACCCATCTCCTGGCAGCTTGGCAGCTTTGAGCGACACAACCGAAAGTCAATGCAGCGCATACGACCCGCAGCGATCCGATGCAAGTCATTTCGCAAGGATTTGTGTATGCTAGAATAATTCCAAAGCCCGAAATATTGAATAACAAGCAAAGGGCTTTCAGCATGGTGAGCTCGATTTCCGAGTTGAGCTTGTCATACATTGGGCACAACGAATCAAACTCTCAACCCCCATCTGAGATCCCGACAAGGCCTTCTGCTTGTTCTGCGTTCTGCCACATTTCGTGACCACCTGGCGCATGCATTTCACAAAGGCGCTCTTCGAGTGGATGCGTTCGCCCCGAGTTGGTCTATGGATTGAATTGTGGAAAACCGACAAGCAATGGAGCCGACCAAACAAAAAACCCGGAAAAACAAGAACAAGACATGAATACTCTATGTGGGGCTATGCAATAAGCCTTTGACCTTTGCCGATGCGTGTCAAGGGCTCCGTCTTGGACTGATGCCTTTTACCTATAGCCTATGGTAACATATGGTCTTTCAAAAATAAACAAACAAACACTGCTCAGTTGCCCGAAACAGTTCTCTTTCAACATCTTTCCTGTGAGTGGGTCGATCACTGAATTCACGGAGATGTTGTTTGCCATTAACATGGTCTTCCGACAGTGCTTAAACTGGGCCCACCAATTCAATCACTCAAAATTACCCTAATGGTGGCTTAGAGCGATCTCCGCAAAAATAGTTTTTTTGAGAACCCCTCAAAATATTCGTAAGGGGCCCAACGTCCAAAAACTCAAGTGAAAATCCCTCAGCCCGAAGAACATCCAACGTTCCAACGCCCGCGGCTCCCCGAATCTGATGCCGGGAACCCGAAAAGGAGCCCAGCAGACCAAACATGAGCACGACAACAGAGAAAAACAATGCGAAACAGAAAACACGACAAAGATCTGAACAAGCCAGAATAAGGAAGGACAATTCGTGCAGAAACACCAAGCCACCCCTTTTTGCAGCTTCAACCAGCGTGAGGGTTCCATGTCTGCCACACGAACCCAACTGGGGATCTTTCCCCAGACCTCCAGTGATGGCAAAACGATGGTGCGTCTTTTCAGTACTTGATGTTGAAGGCAAACCTCACACCCACAAAATGGACATACAAGGCAGCCAATTGAAGTCTCGGGGAGACATGCTTGACTCCTTGATTGAACAGTCCATTGGACCGGAAACCCTCTTGAGGGGCAGTAATGGAGGTCTGGGTTTCTTAGAATGCGGACACATGGCCTCGTCCAGAAGCTTCTCCAGCTCATTCGCTGAAAGCCCTCAGTGTTGCCGAAGCTTGTTCATTTCCGCTATAACAGGCAAGAAGAACAAAGAACAAATCCCTAGTTGGTCGCTAAAATTGTAATTGCGGTTGGGTTAAACTGAGTCATTCAAAATGGGGGCGGATCCCTGATCCTAATCCGTAGTTCTCAGTGGGGCACCACTACAGCAAGGGAACACACAACCATCTGGCATAAGGATGGCATAAGGATCTTGCGGACTGATTCTTGACAACCTGAACCCCGCTTTGCTGTGAGTCTTGGCAGGAGCGGAATCCACCTACGCATGACTTCTGTATCGCGTAAAAGGGGGCTGGTTCAAGGGTACCACAGCAAACCCCAGAGCTGACGGTCCACAGCCATGGCTCAAACCAAAAACCCCATGTCTCCAAAGCATCCGACTGGGCTCCAAGGCTTCCGTCCCAAAGCCACCGCTGCTCCGAGCCCCTTTCGGGTGCCCCTTCCGAGGGTTCGAGGCTGTCACAAATTGGTGTATAAATCGGGCCCCTGTCTCACCATAAAGAAACCCCAAGCTTGGCTTGCTTTTTCATTTGAAAAGAAACATCCAGTGATGAAGGACATTGGAACCAAATTGAAACCAGCGGAATCCATCTGCTTGAACTAGTCACTTACTTTCAAGGATACCTGTGATTCTTCCGCATCGAACCGACCAAACTTCACAAACCTGGAGAAGCGATGTCACGTCGCTTCAGAGGGATAGAGCTAAAAGAACGCCTCACGTCGCTTCAGAGGGATAGAGCTAAAAGAACGCCTACACTTCTGAAGAGTAACATGCAACCCCAAACCAACGCCCACCATGTAAGGAATTTCCTGTTGGGATCCCATCTTTCCCCTTTCGGCTAACCCTTGAGTCCTGAGCACAGTGTCCCTGGCAGGTGATCACCATGAACTACTTCGTTGGTCGTCCAACCTTTTGGTCGGCTCAGGTCCGGACCGGCCAAGCGGTCTTGTGGAAGGGCCTAGCAAGAATCCGAGAAAACGAGTCGTGGTTGTGGCTTTGGAGCTGGTTTTGCTGTTTCCCGAAAGTTCACGTTTTCACATGTCACCTGTGTGTTGCATTTGGCGATGTCTTCTGACTTTTGCACTCTTTGGCACAATACCCAGTGCTTCCGTGCGTTTTGCCACTAAAGTCCATAGCACAACCTAGAGATCAAAATCCTGGTTTGCCTAGTAGGGACAATTGGAAGCGCTGGGGTTTGTTTGCCTGCGTATTATTTTCCGTTGTCGTTCTTGTCGTTTCAAGATCCTAATGAATTTCGGACCCTCCAAATGGCTGGAGTTCAGGACCCACATGCCTGGGCTTGGTAATCGAAGCTACAGAGATGTCCTTGAGTTGAGGGCTCCTGAACTCAGGAAATCCCAGTTGGGTTGTCAGGCCCAACACCTGTGAATTTCCGGTTCCACCAAGGTGTGTGTAAAGGTTTATATGTCTTACTCTAAACTAAACCCCTTACACTAGTCTAAGCTAGCAGAACCCTCTACTATGGAGGTCCTTATATGTCCACCTCCACCCAAAGGAGATCAATCGCAAAACGGCCAAACGCCGATGTTTGACTCTCTAAACATTGCTCGGTGGCACACGCCCAAGGGCTTTGGTCCGAACCAGCTTGTTAAGTGGCAACTTTCTGTAAGAAAAGTAACTTTAATTATATGACACGAAAATCAAACACAAGCCGATCGATTGATCCATGTTGTACTCTAATGGCCTTGAGCGGACGGTGCGCTGGTTCCCTTTGTATCGTGGTCAGGCTCTTACAAAAGGCTTACGAAAGGTGGGTACCTGTCTCAACAAAATCTGAACATTCTTCCAGCTTGGGACGGGGACGGGGCTGGGGGGGGGGTGGACCCTCCCTAGGTGTCCTTGCAAATAGATGGAGTCATTGGTGAACGCAACAGGAGCCAAGCTGCAACCAAATGAAAACCGTCTGCTTTGAACCAGTCACTCACCGAAAAGAGAGTTCCCCTTCGAAGTGGCCAGATCATCCGGCTAAAATAGCCAACATCAAGCCTTTGGAGCTAGGACCGTCTAAGGCTCCCAAGAGTTGTCAAACAAATGAGGCTGCTACTCACCTGCAAAATCACATGGGTCCCCCACCAGGAGATTCTGAGGATGAAATTCCGGGTTCCACCTTCATCTGTGGGCAGTAGAAATCACGGGCATTCCAAGGCTGGGCGTGGGGCCACCAGGCGCTGGAGCAGGAACTCCGCCGTCTTTTGGTCCACATCTCGGCGATCCGCGGCGGAGGATATGGCGCGGGGGCAACCCGAAGGGTGTCTTTCAAAAATAGGGCGCCCCTTGGTTTTGAGGTGGAACACCCGAAAACTTCCATTTGATTGTGGAGGAGTCTCCTTCTGTGGGGGGCGTCTCTGAGTTCCAACTCAATCTGCTGGGCGGTTGGGAGATCCCCAGGTGCACATCTTCGAGCGTAGCAGTGAGCAACCAGTTGGGATGGAAAGCCGATGAACACTGGGATAACTCACATACCAACTTACCTGGTAGAAAGCGAAATTGGTCCATCCGCCGCAGCAGAAAACAATATAAACGGGGAAGCATACCAACAAGAAACTTCTATTCGACCTCATGGAAACCATCCTCTTTGGCTCCCGTCCACTGAAGAGGAGCCTCTTGGCACAAATCTGGGGTGCCCAGAAAAGAATACGTTCAGATTCGGTTTCATATTTAGTCAACCGTAAGATATGGGGGGTGTCTTTTTCCCCAAACAGTTTACTGTGAGGGGTTCTAAATTCATTTAAGGTGGCTCGCCTGTTGCCAAGCCCTAGCCTGGATGCCTGGCACAGCTCTCTGGGTGGACGGGTTCATTTGTCTCCCTGTGTCTCCCTTCATTTGTCTCCCGTTGTCTCCCCGCCTGGATGCCTGGACGCGTTCGTTTGTCTCCCTGGGTTCACTTGTCTCCCTTTGTCTCCCTTCATTTGTCTCCCGTTGTCTCCCAGCCTGGATGATCCAGTCTGGGTGGACGGGTTCATTTGTCTCCCTTTGTCATTTGTCTCCCGTTGTCTCCCAGCCTGGATGCCTGGCACGGCTCTCTGGGTGGACGGGTTCATTTGTCTCCCTTTGTCTCCCTTCATTTGTCTCCCCAGCCATCCGCTCGGGTTCATTTGTCTCCCTTTGTCTCCCTTCATTTGTCTCCCGTTGTCTCCCAGCCTGGATGCCTGGGTGGACAGATTCACTTGTCTCCCTTTGTCTCCCTTCATTTGTCGCCCGTTGTCTCCCAGCCTGGATCTCTGGGTGGACGGGTTCATGTGTCTCCCTTTGTCCCCTTCATTTGTCTCCCGTTCTCTCCCAGCCTGGATGCCTGGCACGGCTCTCTGGGTGGACGGGTTCATTTGTCTCCCTTTGTCTCCCTTGATTTCTCCCGTTATCTCCCAGCCTGGATGCCTGGCACGGCTCTCTAGGTGGACGGGTTCATTTGTCTCCCTTTGTCTCCCTTCATTTGTCTCCCGTTGTCTCCAGCCTGGATGCCTGGCAAGGCTCTCTGGGTGGACGGGTTCATTTGTCTACCTTTGTCTCCCAGGATGTCTGGCACCCCTTTGTTTCCCTTTATTTGTCTCCAGTTTTCTTCCAGCCTGGATGCCTGGCACTGTTTTTTTGTGGACAGATTCACTTTTCTTCCTTTTCTCCTGTCTGTCACGGCTCTCCAGGCGGACGGATTCACTTGTCTCCCTTGGTTCCCCCTCATTTGTCTCCCATCTCTGTGGGTGGACGGATTCATTTGTTTCCCTTTGTCTTCCTTTATTTGTCTCTCGTTATCTCCCAGGATGCCTGGCACGGCTCTCTGGGTGGACGGATTCATTTGTCTCCCGTTGTCTCCCAGCCTGGATGTGTCGCACTCACACTCCGCGGTTTCCTTCACTTCCCGCGGTTCTGTCCTTTTGGCGGGGCCTGGTTTGCCTTCGGCTTTGGCCCTGGCTTCGGTCATTTCTTGTCTTGTGGATGTTGGGGACAGGGTCCTCCTCTGTCTGCCCTTCATCTGGACTTCGATTTCGCTTGGGCTCGTGGTGGGTCGTCTTCCTTGTCTATCGTTGGCTACACCCTGTCAGTTCGTTCAGTGCCTCGTTATCAGTTGCGGTCCCGAGCTGACGATAGCGGTGCGCTGCGGTGCACGGCTTCAGCTACGAGAAGGCTCTGTTAACCCCCCGGTGAAACAAACGTGAATCACGCTGGAGTTAAATCCTCTATCGATTCTTCGAGGATGTTCAACGAACCTTACGCTGAGATACCCAGTGGTGGTCTTGTCTCTGGTGGACGGGTTCATTTGTCACCCTTTGTCTTCTGCTGCTACCCTCACCACCTTCATGTGGTCTTCCGTTTGCCTCCCTGCCCTGGATGCCTGGCACGGCTCCTCTCTGGGTGGACGGGTTTTCATGTGTCCCCTTTCATTGTCTGGCACCGGCTCTCTGGGCTTTGTTTCCCTTCATTTGTCTCCCGTTGTCTCCCAGCCTGGGTGTCTGGCACAGCTCTCCAGGCGGACAGATTCTCTTGTCGCCCTTTGTCTCCCTTCATTTGTCTCCCGTTGTTTCCAGCCTGGATGCCTGGCACGGCTCTTTGGGTGGACAGTTTCACTTCCTTCTTTGTCTCCCTTCATTTGTCTCCCGTTGTCTCCCAGCCTGGATGTCTGTCACGGCTCTCCAGCGGACGGATTCACTTGTCTCCCTTGGTTCCCCTTCATTTGTCTCCCATCTCTGTGGGTGGACGGATTGATTTGTCTCCCTTTGTCTCCCTTTATTTGTCTCCCGTTGTCTCCCAGCCTGGATGCCTCTCTGGGTGGACGGATTCATTTGTCTCCCTTTGTCTCCCTTTGTTTGTCTCCCGTTGTCTCCCAGCCTGGATGCCCCTCTGGGTGGACGGATTCATTTGTCTCCCGTTGTCTCCCAGCCTGGATGTGTGGCACTCACGCTCCGCGGTTTCCTTCACTTCCCGCGGTTCTGTCCTTTTGGCGGGGTCTGGTTCGGCTTCGGCC